AGAGAGAGAGAGAGAGAGAGAGAGAGAGAGAGAGAGAGAGAGAGAGATATGCTGGCAGAATTTTGGTGTCGACATTTCCATGGCCCATCACCAGGTTTTCTCTTATAAATGTTTGTCCTTCCACACTTGCCCAAAAAACATGCTGGTCAGGAAACCTTCACTGACCAAAGGTAACCAAAGAGATGTTTTGGCATTGTCTTACTGCTGATTGATTATAATAAAAAGCTGACAGCCAATAGCTGGGGCAAAAGTGGTGGAACTTTTGGGCAGCCAAAGAGACAAGAAGGATGAGAGCAGAGGCAGGAGGATCAAAGAGGACATGGAATGGTAACCTGAGTGGAGCAGGGTAAAGAGCTGGCCATGTGGATGGGGCTGGAGGGAAGTCGGTGTAAGGCAGATGAGTTAGCAGAGAGACTGCCCCAGCAAAGGCTTTAAACTATATAGAAGTCTCCAAGCCTTATTTATAGGAAATTTATATATTTTGAGGTAGGTCCTTGAAAGCCCTGCAATAAAAACCACAATCAGACATCATTTCATACACATTAGGATGGCCACTGTAAAGAACTAGTGGGGTTAGCGACGTGGTTCAGTCAGTAAAGGTGCTTTCTACCAGGCCTGATGACCAGTATAATCAAGGGAACCCATGTGTTAGATAAGAGAAAAATCAACTCCCTAAAGTTGTCCTCTATCTTCCACATGTATGCTGAGGCACATATCCCGTGCCCTGAAGCTGTGCCACACTCTAGTGAGCTCATGAAAATACAAACACACACATGATAAACACACAAATATGTAATAAATATAAATAATGATCAAGCAATGAAATGGTCCAGATACACTGATAAAGAAACAGAGAACACTTCTCTGTAGACCAGGCTGGCCTAGACCTCAGAGACCCACCTGTCTCTGCCTCCTCAGTGCTGGAACTAAAAGCATGTGCCTCCATAGCCCGCCTGGCTTCATCTACATTTTCCAAAGTTCAGGAGCTATTTGAACTCTTCTTTCCCCTGGTCCTAGGTCCTATATTTAAATATTCTACTCCTCTTGCCTGACAACTTTGTTTCCTGAGACAGAGTCTCACTATGTAGCTCTGGCTGACACTTCAGGAAGACTCACCATTTCAACTAGGATGGCCTTAAACTATAGAGATCCACCTGATTGCTGGGATCACAGGCATGTGCCACTATATAGGCATAAGAATATTACCTCCAGAGATATCTCAAGATGTAATAAAAATCTACACATTAGCAGACTAATACAGGAGTTACACTCCTCACTGGACATTCTTGAATTTTCACTGAAATACCTGCTATATGAGATGCCTACAGTTATTTTAAAGGTATTTTAAGTATTATTTTCCTTCTAGTTAATACACAGGTATATTTAGAACATTCAGTAATGATTTATAAGATATTCTTTCAGATACACAAATATCTAGATGAATGTATTAAGAGTCATAATTAACATATTATTTGTAAATTTTAAGACAGGCATGGTAGGGGCTAGAGAGTTGGCTCAGAAGTTAAGTATATTGGCTGTTCTTCCAGAGGACCCCAGTTCAATTTTCAGTACCCACAACCGTATGTAACTGTAGTTCTAGGAAATCCACCCACCTCTTCTAGCCTCCAAGGGCACACGTGAGGTACATAGACATACATGCAGGCAAAACACTCACAAACATAAAAAAATCAAATAAAAAGATAGGCATGATGGTACTTATCTATAATCCCAGCATTAAGGGGGTAGAGGCAGGAGGATCAGGGGTTTAAGACCATCTTCAGGGTCTGAAAAAGCTTCAATTTATGACTATAAGTCATAACTAAATAGGAAGCACCTGGGGCACTGAGCTAGCCCAGTAACTCTCTTATTAATAAAGAGTAAAGGTCTTTAGGAACATCTTATAATTCATTCAGTAAGACAAACAAAATATGGACAAAATATTTAAATGAACATATACTTAGAGATGGAGGCAAGAGAATCAGAAGTCCAAGGTTACCCTCTACTACATAGCTAGTTTGGGCCAGCTTGAGCTATAAGAAACACTGCCCTGAAAAAAGAAAACCAAGAGCAAATTTAAACAACCATTTCATCAAAGAAGATATGCATGAGTACACCTTTCAGATGATAAAGAAAATAAACTCTGTATGTGAAGACATATAACTATTAAATAAAAACACGATCCATACAACTAGACATTATGAAAAAGCAAATTAAAACACAACTTCAAAAAATGCATAATGAATGTTAGACATGTTGGTACATGCCTTTAATCCCAGCATTTGGGAGGAAAAGACTGGAAGATCTCCGTGAGTTCAAAGCTAACCTGGCTTACATAATGAGTTTCAGGACAGCCAAGGCTGAATAAAGACCTTGTCTCAAGAAGCAAAAACAACCCACCAAACAAAAAACAGCTATAATGAAAGCAATAAGGATATAAAGAAATGGGGAATCCTCATCTACTACCAGTAAGAAGGTTAGTTACTGCATGACTCTGGAAAACAATATGGCAAGTTCTTTATTTTTAATCAATTGATTTATTTTTATTTACATGTATAAGTGTTTGGCTTGCATGTATGTATATGCCTGGTGTCCATACCTATCAGTAGAAGGCATCATACCCCCTGGAACTGAAGTTCCAGATGGTTGTGAGCCACTGTGTGAGTGCTGACAACCAAATCGTTCCTCTCAAGAGCAGCAAGTGCTTTTAAGCACTGACCTGTCTTTCCAGCACCTATGAGGATTTTTCTTCCTTTCTTCCTTCCTTTTCTTTCTTAATTATTTAGAGACAAGGTCTCAAAACTTGCTAAGAATATCAAGGCTAGCCTTCGAATTCATAGAGATCTGCTTGTCTCTGCCTCCCTGAGGTCCTGGGATTAAAAACATGTGCAACTATGCCCATCTCCCTGTATCCGATCATACTATGTCATCAATGATTTCTGGCAAAAGTTTCCTTACCTATATCCCTAAGGGAACCTTTTTCATAGGAAAGAAAGTACATAGCAATGTATTGTATTACAGTAAATCACAGCAGTCTAGATAAGTAACAACCACAAAAAACAAACAAAACCCTAAACTAAAGAAAAAGCCTCCCATGTGGCTCTCATCTTTTGTGAGTAGAGTAAGTCATTCTCTGAACTATCATGGGTATCTCTCAGAAAACTAATGAGACGACAGAATGACAAGAGACCACGACAAATGTTAGGGGAATCATTAAATTGGCATCTAAAGTAAACATCTAATCTCAGAATTCATTTATTCTTGTAATAAACACCTACTAAATTCCTACAAGAAGCCAAACACTATACATCCTTTTCTCAAGGAAAGTACTATCTGTGAGGACTTCATCAATCAATACAATGGCACAAAGCTACACAATACTTGTCTTAAGACCTACCTAAGAATTTCATTCCAAGTCTGAAATAATTCTAGTTTTTTGTTTCCTTCTTTATTTTGAGGCAGGGTCTCCAGTATGAAGCTCATGCTGGTCTGGAACTACATAGTCCAGGCTGCAGGCTGGCCTTAAACTCACAATCCTCCTGCCTCAGTCTCTAGAGTGCTAGGATTATACATGGGCACTACGACATCTGGCTTTCATTTTAGTTTTCTATAAGATTTTCCAAAAGTAAAAGTAGAATTCCCAATTTTATGTAGTGTATAAAATAAAAAGCTCAGTTTTCTTGGGTTTTTTTTTGGGGGGGGTAGAACATATACCCATTTTAGTGAGAAGCTGTACTCTTTTCCAAAGGTCCTTATCCAGGCTATCTCCAAGAATGTTACCAATAATGTCAACTGTAAGTAGCAACACATGGAGAGTTACAAGTCAGTACCCAGTCCTATCACACACTCTGAACACCAAGGAGACACATTACCTGCAGGTTTAAGATCTCCTATTCGAATAATGTGCGGCCAGTGCTGTAGTGTTTTAGCAAAAAAGGGGTTGGTTACTCCTAAGATGACTGAGGGCCTGTATAAAAATGAGACAAAATAAGTGTCAAATCACAGAAGAATAGGTGACAGTTTCTGAGTGGACAATATAATGAGTATTGTTCCCTTTACTTGATTAATTATGTATCAACATGACAGGCAACATTCAGTACTAGACGCATGAAGATAAAAAAAAAACATACGACATTTTTATGAGTTTTATTCATTTTATTTTATGTGTATTTTGCCTGCATGTATGTCTGTACAACATGTGTGTGCTTGGTACACTAGAAGGTCAGAATAGAGCATCAGATTCCCTGGAACTGGAGTTAAGGATAGTTGTGAACATCATGTGGGTGTGGGGAATCAGACCTGGGTCCTCTGGAAGAGCAGCCAGTACTTTTAACTGTTGAGTCCTCTCTCCAGCCACTAAAGACATGATTCTTAAACAGCATAAAGGTATCAAGGCATACATACTCAGTCATGATAGAACAATTAGAAGACACTGAAAGGGAAATAAAATGCTCAGCAATTCCAAGGAGAAGGTATGATCTGCCAGGGTTTTAAAACCTGAGTCACCAAAGATGGGATAGAGAGAAAACACGCATGAAAGATGAGTAGTTTTCCAAGGAAAGTAAGGGCAATGTGAAATATTCTTGTCAAACAGTGAGGCTGGATCAGTCTCTACCTGCAACTACACACACAATTACAGGTACTTCAGTATTCCTGAGCAGAGTAGGAGGATAAAGAGAAAGAAGAGCACCGAGTGTATACACTTAGAAATTAATACATTATCTTGTAAGCAAATAGAAGCCACAGAGAATACAGTGTAGGTATGTCACATAAATGCTACAGATCAATGTGGGGAAATTTAGAGGACACCATGTAAGGAGGGAAAGCAACAGTAGACAGAGAGAAACTAGAGTCTAAAGAAGGAATTATGGAAAGAACATAATAAACAGGCTGAAAGATATTTTCAGTTGATGAACTGACAGAATTTAGTTGAGATTTGTTGCAGGTCAGGGCTGGAGAGATGTCTCAGCAGTTAAGAGCACTGGTTGATCTTCTAGAGGACCCAGGTTCAATGTCCAGCACCACATGGCAGCTCAAAACTGTCTGTAACTCCAGTTCTAGAGGCTCCAACACACTCACACAGACATACATGTAGACAAAACACCAATGTACAAGAAATAAAAATTAAAATTTAAAAAAATTAAAAAAAAAGATTTGTTGCAGGCCATGGTAAGAAGACATAATACTATGTTTTTGATAACTAAGTCAAAACTAATAGCATTTATCAAGAAAGCAACAGACAGGAGGTTAGAACAAAAAAGAGGGAATAAAAATCAGTCAGAACATGCTAAGTTTCGATGCATTAGAAACACAGCTGTGAACTGCCCATGGTAGCACATGATAAAATCCCAGCACTGGGCAACGAAGGCAGGAGGATCAGTAGTTCAAGACCATCCTGAACTACATCAGCAAGTTCAAGAACAACCTGATCTGTAAGGTGAGTTCTAGGCCAACAGTACTAGAGATTGAGATCCATCTCAAAAAGAAGAATGGATATACAGGAGTAACATTCTACACTGCCGGGCGGTGGTGGCGCATGCCTTTAATGCCAGCACTTGGGAGGCAGAGGCAGGCGGATTTCTGAGTTCGAGGCCAGCCTGGTCTACAGAGTGAGTTCCAGGACAGCCAGAGCTACACAGAGAAACCCTGTCTCGAAAAACCACACACAAAAAAACAAAAAACAAAAACAAAAGCAAAAAACATTCTACACTAACGCCAACAAAAGCACTGCAGAGATCTAGGTGTTGAAAAGATTTAAGGTGCAAAGATATGTTTCAGTCATTACTACAGGAGCTTTTAAGTTATTCTGTAGTTAGTCCAGGGTGACTTTGAACTCTTCCTCAGTCTTTCTGTGCAGCCTCTAAAGTACTAAGATTTCAAGAATGAATTAGCATGCCAAGTTACTATAGGATCTTTAAAAATTAATTACAATTAATTAAATGTTAATTGTATGTGTGAGAGTGAAAGAGCCTGAGAGGAAGAGCAGAGGAGCAGAGAGCATAAAAGCATGGGGGGGGGGGGGGAGAAAGAGAGAGGGGGGGGGGGGGAGGGAGGGAAGGAGGGAAAAAGGGAGAGAAAGAAGGAACACAAACTTTGTCTAGTACCATGGCATGTTGGGGGTGGTACCTAAAGACAGTTTTCAGGAGTTGGTTCATTCCTCAGCTTCCTGAAGTGGGGCCTTTCACCAGAGCTCCCAGGGGTTTCTCCTGTCTCTGCCAACCATCTAACTGTGGGAGTGCTTAGACCACAGATGTATGCCACAGCACCCAGCTCTGTACATGGGTTTGGGGCTTGAACTCACATTTGACGGCTTGCATGGCAAGTGCTTTTACCTGCTTAGTCCCCTCCAGGCCTTAGTATAGGGTCTTAACTGAGACCATGGATACTGTTAAGGTTATATAGAAAAAAATGATCTGTCTGGAAGAGGAACCCAGAACAGTCCTTGATAACATCAACATTTAAGCAGAGAAACAACTCTACATGGAAGACTAAAATACAACACTACACAGCTAGGAGACAAGAGGATTATGATTAATGTATTTTAAAGGAGCCAGGCAGTGGTGACAGACACCTTGAATCCTAGCACTTGGGAGGCAGAGACAGTTGGACTGCTTGAGTTTTGAGACCAGCATGGTGTACAGAATGAGTTCTAGGACAGCTAGGGCTACAGAAAAACGCTGTTAAACAAAAACCAAACAAACAAACAAATAATAACAACAAAAGATATTTTAAAGGGGAGGCTGAAGAGGAAGGATCAAAAGTTCAAGGCCAGTCTGAGCTGTGTATGGAAATTCTATCTTAGAAACAGCACATCTGCCATTCTCATAGTTGGAAGGTAGCATCAGAAGGCTCAGAAACTCAAGGACAGCCTTAGCTGCATAGAGAGTTCAAGGCCAGCCTACATTACATAAGACCCTGTCTCAAAAGAAACAAAACAAAAAGACACACACACACACACTCTTACTCAAATATGGCAACACAGTACTTGATCAAGCAATGAAAACAGAAAATGTTGATAGATATTAAAAGTTAGCCTGGGGGTAGAGAGATGCTCAGCGGTTCAGAGCACTAGCTGCTCTTCCAGAGCACTCAGGGTCATTTCCTAGCACATAAATGGCAACTTACAACCACCTGTAATTCCAGTTCCAGGGGGTCTGATACCCTCTGGCTTCCATGTACACATGCATGCATGTGGTGCACAGACATACATGCAAACAAAACACTCATACACATAAAACAAAATAAATTTTAAAAAGAGAAGTTCTATTAAAAAAAAAAAAACCAAGTAAGCCTGCAACAGATGCTATGATGTTAGCAGGAAATCAAGAAATAGAGAAAATAAATGGAAATGATGTTTGCTCTTCTAAAACTCAAGCTAAGAAAGAAGGTAAACAATTATAAAACAGGAGCTAAATGGAAAGAATATGATTATTTTCTTCAAATATTAAATTATTTCCAACAGCTCCCCAAACCTTTTATAAAAAGAAATGTCAGTAAGTTAAACTTTTAAATTAAAATGTTATTACACAATAAAATTTATTATACAATTCTACAAATCTTGGCAATAAAGAGAATACTTAGTCAACAAAAGTTATGTTTACTCACGGAGCTTGAGTACGGGTAGTATATTCTTTGAATTCACTATCATGAATCGTGAAGTAAGGTCGAAAATCACTAAAGTATTTTAATGGAGAAATACAGCTGTGGAACAGGAAGACACAGAAATCAAGGTTCCACTCCACAACCATGACACATCCACATATATACCCAAAAGACAAATTATTTCACCATTAGGTAAGCACTGGTCTCTAATATTAATTGAAATTTATCAACGTTTTTCTGCATGTAACTCTCTGTGTGTGTGTGTGTGTGTGTGTGTGTGTGTGTGTGTGTGTGTTATTCAAAGCAGCAAAAACATGGCTTCCGCTCTAACTGGACCTGACTCAATTGTCTCACACATTCTGAGAAAGTTGTTGCATGGATTGATGCAGTGAGTCGGGGAACATTACAGACTGAAAATACTGCAAGAATCAGAATCAAGAGCCCAATGCACTCACCTAACAAGGGCCAGTACAGTTTCTGAAGACTCTGATGGCGACGGTGCCATGACCACAAGGGGCTCTCCCAACAGCACCAACTCCCAAAGCATCTGACTGTGAAGAAAAACTGGGCAGAAACACCTAGAAAGTTTACACAGTAGAAATACCTTATTATTTATCCAAATACTTCACATTGATACAAATTCTTTCTGCTACTGAGAGCTTGATCTGAAAGATTAACTGGGAATGTTGTAATGCAGTTACGCACGCACGAGCATGTACACACACACACACACACACACACACACACACAGGCACGCACACGCACACACACACACAATCAAAGCCAGGTGTGAGTTCTAAGGACACGATTCCAGTAGTGTACTTAAGTCTGAACGTTTAGTAACCTTTATTTATTTACTTTCCTTCCTTGTTTGATAGCAATTTCCCTAGCAGATTAGAGAAGAGAAAAAAAGTATTTCTGAAGAACATAACAAATCTCACTAGTTAAAAATCAAGACACTCGGGGCTGGAGAGATGGCTCAGAGGTTAAAAGCCCTGACTGCTCTTTCAGAGGTCCTGAGTTCAATTCCCAGCAACCACATGGTGGCTCACAACCATTGTAATGGAATCTGATGCCCTCCTCTGGTGTGTCTGAAGACAGCTACAGTATACTCATACATAAAATAAATAAATCTTTAAAAAAAAAAATCAGACACTCGGTCAACCCAAAACACATAGAAGTGTAAAAACATGAAACAAATTTGTGAGATAAAAAATAAGCTATTTAATTTTAACTAATAAAAACAAAAAGACAAAAAACAAACAAACAAAAAAACAAAAGAAAAAAAACAAAAACAACTTGGGCAGCAGTAGCACAAGCCTTTAATCCCAGCACTCAGAGGCAGGATTTCTATGAGTTCTAAGACAGCCTGGTCTACAGAATGAGTTTGAGGACAGCCAGGTCAATACAGAAAAACCCTGTCTCAAAAAAACAAGCAGATACTTCACTGCTCATTGGAAATAGTGCATTTCAAGCTGGTATATATCACCAACACTTTCAGATCTGTGATTTAGGCAGTGGCCTAAAGATTCTTTTTTTTTTTTTTTGGTTTGTTGAGATAGGGTTTCTCTGTGCAGCCCTGGCTGTCCTGGAACTCATGCTGTAGACCAGGCTGGCCTCGAACTCAGAAATCTGCCTGCCTCTGCCTCCCAAGTGCTGGGATTAAAGGGCCTAAAGATTCTTAATCAGTTGTTCTAGAAAAATGCATAAACAATGGTAGCTTCTCTTTTTGCATCTTTCCTCTTTTTTCAAGTACTAGAGCATATAATTTTATTTTTAAAATTTTAAAACATAAGAAAATAGTATTTGTCGTTTCTAATTTTTTTACTGAATTTTTTTTAACAAGCAGCACAAATCTTGTGGTATTTTACCCCCAAATTTAAATTTAACTTAAAAAAATCTACTTTTTCTAATATCACCATAATACAATTCTCATACCAAATTAAACAAAAGCTGTTTGTTTTAACCACATAGCACCCAATGCACATCTCAATTTTCTTGCAGCCAGGATAAAGCACTGGATTTTACCATTAAAACATAATGAATAATTATTTTTTAACTTTTCAAGAATCTTTAGGATTCATAATGAGTATTTTCTTCCAGGTTAATTCACATTTCCATAAATTAATAAAAATTACCACAAATTAGAAAGACAAAATAGTTAACATTCTTTAAATTCTTTACCTGAAAAGATCCACCTCATGAACAGTAGGCAAAATAATGGATGTATGTGTATCTGCCTAAAGGATTAAAAAAGAAGGAGAAGAAAAGTAGGGAAGATGTTACTAAAATTTACAGAAACTGATTTTTGTTTTTGAGACAGGATCTAACAGTATAGCCTTGGCTGTCCTGGAAATCACCACGTAGTCCAGGATAACAGAGAACTCACAAGGGATTACTGTTGGAACTAAGGGTAGGTACCACATCTGGCTATCTTAAGCCAAGTGTGACACATGATGGTACTTGACTATACTGTAATACCAGCACTCAAAAGAAGAGGCAGGAGAATTGATTTGAGTTCAAGGTCAGCCTCACTAGCAAGTTCCTGGCCAGACAGGGCTACACAGTCAGACTGTTTCAAAACACAAACTAAATCAATGAAAATAACAACACAACTATGTCACAACCAAAGAGCTATCTCACTCAGTTCATTTTGACAAGTTTCTCTTCCCCCAGGAGCAGCCAGAGAGAATAGATCTTACAAGTATTCCACAGTACAGCACAGAAAAGCACAAACACTGGGTAGGAATCAACCCACGGCTAGATGTGAGCCTCGGTCACAACTGTAAGCAGCAGTCAGGCCTCCCGCTGCCCTCTAGCTTTACTCAGAGCACAGTGGGGATGTTAACAACACAGCCTAGGATTTCAAATGAAAGATTCAAACCACAAGGAATAGAAACTGCCTTCAGAAAAAGAAAAGCTCCAGAATCCTTCTGACTGAGCCGTCTAAAATTAGAATTCTGTTGGCTACTCTTCTAAGAGAACAGTTTTTGCCAGAATTAAACCTCCTTTAAAGTGTTTACTGTCATTTAGTCCTCACAATCACAACATGAACACTGGGTTCTCCAGAACCTACTGAGATAGTAACAATAACATTTTTAACAAGAAATGTTAAAAGTTTATCACCAACTAACTTAAAAGTAATGGGTGTTTCGGTGAACAGGCCCCAGGCTGCACCATGGTAACTTTAGCATCAAGCTACCTGCTGAGTTAACTGCACCATCTGCGTGGTCCCAGGCTTGTCATGACACGTGGGAATCCGAACCTTAAAGACAGAGAGGAGCTATTATTTATCTGCAAGGCAAGTGCTCTATCTAGCACACTCAGCACTTCTAAAGTGCTCTAAGGACCAAGTGTTTCTGGGGGTTTTAGAACCTAGGGTCTTCATACTTCGTTATAGCAGGAGTAGGGAAACTAAAGCTACAAATGGAGATCACTAACCACAGAAGCAAATGGCTGGAAACAAAGTCAGGACAACAGTCTTACACGGCTTCCTGCTCACTTTCCAGTCTCTGCTTCACAAATACACACACCCAAACACACCCTCTCAAGCTTGCCAAATTTCGGAATAAACCCCACAGAAAACAATGGGAACGCTCAACCCAGTGCTATCAAAATTATTGCTATGTTTGCTGAAGGGGTGGGGAGAGAATACATATATCAAACAAGCAAACCTAAAGAAGGAACACAGTTAAGAATCCAATTTCACAAATACATGAATTGCAAAGAACCTGAGTGCATTCATACATAATCTGTCAATAGAATTCAAATTCCTTAAAAACAAAGCAATGGGTTAGGAATAGAGCTCAGAGGTAAAGCATTTGCCTCACAATTATGAGGCCCTGGGTTCAATCTCCAATACACAGAGAGAAAAACAATGAAAAGAAAAATTTTTAAAATCCTCACCATAACAGAATATTCTAAGAAAAACATGCTTGGTCTGACACTAAATGTTAAAAGACCATTTAGAGCCACTAAACCATTGACTTTTCTAGTATATCTTAATTTTCAGCAATTAACACCCAAGACAACAAGTGTCCTGTTCCTGCTCACCACCCATACTACAGGGTTCTAGAGGGAGGCACTTCTATCTGTGTATACTTGACAGGGATAGCATTGCTGCACTCATCCACTGGGTGCACTGCCTGGCTGGAGGGCCTGAGTTGTATGCAGGATTCTTTAAGGCAAGATCAACTGTAGTGTACCTGTAATATCTCACAGCAATAGTGAAGCCATTAACACCACTAAATGTTATCAGGTTGTTTAAAACAAAAACCACGTGTGAGCTTTCTGTAGAGTTCTTCAGAGCACACAGATGAGACTACAGTAAGTTGTTACCTTCATTACTATTCCCATGATAGGCAGATGCAGTGTTTTCCCTGGCACTGGGGCAGGCCATCGGTCAACATCATTACAAGCTGAAAATGTAACAAAATACTAATGTAAGTGGAAAATTAAAACATTTAAAATGAGTCAGGCAGTGGTGGCGCATGCCTTTAATCCCAGCACTTGGGAGGCAGAGGCAGGCGGATTTCTGAGTTCAAGGTCAGTCTGGTCTACAGAGTGAGTTCCGGGACAGCCAGGGCTACACAGAGAAACCCTGTTTCGAAAAAGCAAAAAAAAAAAAAATATATATATATATATATATATTTAAAATGGACACTGTAAACTAGAGCTCTTTTTGTAGCATGGGAGAAATATGTTAATAATAGCAGATAAAGAAAAATAAATTTGATGAAATATTTAATTTATAATTCTTTCAGAAGTATTATGTTTTAGGATATATATTGGTTAACTGTTGAATGGGAGCTGAAGAGATGGATCAGCTGTTATGAGTACTTCTTGCTCTTGCAAAAGACCTGTGTTTGGTTTTGATCACTGACATCAGGAAGCTCACATTCTACAGCTCCAGCTCCAAGAACCTGAAGTCTTCTCTGGCCTTTCCTCAGGCACTCACTCATGTGGCACACAGACCATCAATAAAAATGTTTTTAATTAAGAAGAAAACCTGTTGAATGACAACTAGCTTCAAGGGTAGATTTCCTATTTATTTTTTAACTACTGTTTCTGTTTCTGGATTTCTGTTCAATGGTACTCCAAGAACTATCAGTACAAAACCTTATTTCTAACTCTAACAGACACCGTTTATATTACTACAGTGGATAGGACCAGATAGCACGTAGGTATCTGGAAATGTATGAAGGATTATAAGTAAAGATGTCAGACTAAATGTTCTGTATCTCTCTCACATCATTTAAGATCTAAGTCTCAATCTTCCTCTTCCTCCTCTTCCTCCTCCTCTTCTTCTTCTTCTTTTTTTTTTCCTTTTTGAGACAGGGTTTCTCTGTGTAGCCCTGGCTGTCCTGAAACTCACTCTGTAGACCAGGCTGGCCTCCAACTCAGAAATCCACCTGCTTCTGACTCCCAAGTTCTGGGATTAAAGGCGAGCACCACCACTGCCCAGTAAATCTTCTTCTGATTATATTTAGAGTATCAACTTCCACTGTATTAAAACTCTTTAAGAGTACATAACTTGGAGTGCTGGTAGAGAAGAGATGACTCAAATGTTAAAAGTGATAACAGCTCTATCAAAAGATCAAAGTTTGGTTCCCAGAACCCATGTCAGGCAGCTCACAGTAACTTGGAACTTCAGTTCCAAGGGGGACGTGACACTTCACTCACTCACATGCACAAACAATACACACATGCTCAAACAATAAACAAGCAAATAAATAAATATGTGAAAACCAAAAATAAATATAAAAGAAAAGAAACCATACCTTGGGCTAAGAAAATTCAGTAAAGTGCTTGCTGCATAAGTGTGAGGAACTGTGTTTGATCCCCAGAACTCAAAAAAAAAAAAAATCAGACATGATAATGATGCATTGTTATAACTCAAGCACTGGGAGAAGACAGGAAGCTCACTGGGGCTCACTGGCAAGTCAGCATAACCTAATGAAAAAGCCTCGGGTCTTAGTAAGTAAAAGACTCTACTCCAAAAATCAAGGTGACTGGCTCCTGAAGAACACCACTGAAGATTCACCTCTGGCTCCCACACACATCTGCATGTGCACTGGCATGTGAACATGCATGGACACACACACACACACACACACTCACACATAGAGTCACACACACAGTACATAACTCATACAATATTTAACTTACCTGCTTCCAAGTAAGGTTCATTTTTTTCAAAATACTCTGGTGCTATCTGTTTGAGTACGGTGTGAAAAAAATGAATATAAGGTAGTTTGCTGATCAAAACCAATGACTGAGGAAAGAAGGGGGACAAAGATTTTTTTGGTTTTTTATTTAAATGCCTAATGATTATAATTTAAGTTTGCCATTTATTATGCATGAACAATTATTAATGAGCTAAAATTCTGCAAAAAAGGGTATGGATTTTGAAAATTTTAAAGTTTTTTTTACAGCAGATGGTTAAAAAGAAAATACAAAGTCATAACTGAGAAATGAAAAACTTTAATCTCATTATGATTTAAGACAGTGTTCCTCAACCTGTGGGTCACGACCTTCACAGGGGTAGTCTATTAAATATCCTGTATATCAGATATTTACATTATGATTCATAACAGTAGCAAAATTACAGTTATGAGGAGCAACAGAAATAATTTATACTGAGGTCACCATAACACAAGGAGGAACTGTATTAAAGAGTCAGAGCATTAGGAAGGTTGAAAACCACTGCTTTAAGAACTAAAGGCATATTCACAGAAATTCCTGCTTTTCAGACAAAACAATTTCCCCCAAACCAGACTAATATAATGGACAATTTTAAAAGCCAAGTATAATTTTTAGTTTTAACTGTCAATTTGAGACAATCTATAACCACTTAGGAAAAGAATATCAGTGAATGAAGCTCCACCTACTGAGGGTGAAACCATTCCCTAGGCAGGGGATCCTGAACTGTCTAAGAGTGAAAAGAACAGGCTGAGCATGCTGTGGATACAAGGCATCAGTGTCTCACGCTATTGCCACTGTGACTTCTCCACAATGGTGGACTATATATGTACAACCTGAAGTTACAGCTAATATAGCTCCTAGGATGTTTGGGTTTAGGTGTTTTATCACAGCAATAGAAACAAACTAAGATACCTACCTATTGTATACAACATATATCAAAATTAGCCACATGAAGTCTGTCTTTATTATTATTACTATTATTTTGGTTTTTTTGAAACAGTGTTTCTCTGTACAGCCCTGACTCTCCTGGAACTAGCTCCATAGACTAGACTAGACTGACCTCAAATTCAGAGACCCACCTGCCTCTGCCTCCCAAGTGCTGGGATTAAAGGTGTGTGCCATCACTGTCCTGCCACATGAAGTCTTTCTACTAAGGAAAATCAAACTGTGATGCTTGGCCCAAATCCCTATGCCTATTATGTTCTAGCTGTCCTAGCCTAGCTACAAACTTAAAAATTGCAACTTTCAGTACGATCACTTTACAGTCAAATTACACTGATTTTCAAATGTAGGTTTCAAGTGTAGGTTTTTATCCTTGAATGCTGCTCTTTCTAATTAAGGTTTTATTTTTATTTATGTGCATATGCGTGAGTGTCCACAGAGACCAGAAAAGGGCTTCAGATCCCCTGGAACTGGTTATAGGTGCTTATAAGCTGTCCAATATAGGTGCTGGGACCTGAACTTGTGTCCTCTGTAACAGTAGCAAATGCTCTTAACTACTGAGCCATCTCTCCATCCTCCAAACTACTTTTTACCTTATCTGACATTAGAATAGGAATTTTCCTTTTTTCATTTAATTTATGAAAAAAGACTGTATATTTAGGTTGGAAGCACTAAGGACTAACATGTTGCTAAATTTTACTTACTGATTCATTAAAAAAAAAAACTACAGGTTTTTATGGGTTGTAAGAATATTACAATTTGTTTACTTTCTCCCTTATTCTAAAAGTACACAGACAGCAAAAACTCAATAGTTAAAATTTATGGAATACGGGGGCTGGAAAGTTGGCTCAGCAGTTAAGAGCACCTCTTCCAGAGGTCCTGAGTTCAATTTCCAGCAACCACGTGGTGGCTCACAACCATGTGTAATGGAATCTGATGCTCTCTCTTGACATACAGGTATATATGCACACAGAACACTCATACGTGAAATATATAAATAAATAAATATTTTTAAAAATTACAGAACATGGTGGCACACACCTTTAATCTCAACACCCAGGAGACAGAGGCAGGTGGATTTCTGTGAGTACAAGGCCAGTAAAGTCTAAATAGCAAGTTCCAGAACAACCAGGGTTACATATATAGTCAGACTCTGTCTATAAGTAAATAAATAAATAATAATAAAAATGGGGCAGGTGCCTATAATAGAGCTCAGGCAAAACATAAAACTTCAGACAAGATTAAGTTTAAATATTTCTACTTTGGGGTTGGGGAATTGAGACAGGGTCCTAGGTAGCGCAAGTTGGCCTCAACTTCCAGAGTTTTCTATCTCCACCTCTCAAATGTTGAGACTATAGGTAAGCACCATTAAGTCCAGCTCTCACTTCCCTAGTCATAATAACATTAAACACTTTAATAGTGCACATAAAAATTACCTTCTGAAAGTAGCCTCTTTTAAGAGTTTTATCTCGAACTTGTCGAAAATACACATATCCATAAAAATATGCGGGATCTTTCTATGAAGGAAGACAAAAAAATTTATGTGTGTATGCATGTATGTATGTATACGCAGATATCCTTTAACAGTAACAGTGGGTTTCTTTAGTAACCTGAGTCAATATGTAAGCGATATACAAAAGCTCGTGATTATCTTCCTACCTAAACAGCAATAGAAGAATAAGGAACCTGCCAACTTGCTGAGAGATTGTAACCACACCTAAGAACTAAAGGTGGGTCTTTTCCCTAGGAACCCATCAGCTTATGTTCTTAATTCACAACTAGACTTGGAAATGGAAATCAGAACACCATCAAATTCAGAATTTTCTCTAATGTTATACTGTTTCCTTAAAATTTACAGTAAATACCTCTAAGTTATAATAAAATCCAAAGTACTGGGACAGGGGAGACCACTTAAATATGACAGTATTTACTATATAATGGTACCCCACCTGCCCATCTCCAGAGATCATGACCAAGCAAAGCACCTCACCATGCTAGTCAGTTTTTACAATTTATAATGGCATCATTTCCAGAACAGTAACTTTAGAGTCAATTTCACTCACATGCCAAATCCTCATCACTTACTTAAGAAACCCAGCTAGATAATAAAGGCAAACAACACTGAAATGTTATCAAAGGTGACTGAGGACAATAGCTCTAAAGGAACAAGTGCCAGGGTGTCCTCTCACATGGATGCTTTCCCACCTTTAAGTAAACTGGTAAATCTTTGTCAAATTCATCAAGAAGACAGTGTAGTGATACCCTCCTCCCAGAAGACTGGCGGAATCTAAAGCAAAACTGGGTATCTCCAAGACAACCTAACAAAACAGAAAGAAAAAGTCAGGATGGCTTCATGTGACATTTATTCAGTTTCATCAATATCAAAGTAAAAGAACTTTACAAATAAGTTTTACCCATTTCTTCATATTTTAGAGAAGAAAAAAAAAAGCCTAAAAATTGTAGGATGTAGTAGTGCACACCTTTAATCTCAGTGCTTGGGAGGCAGAGACAAGTAGATGTCTGGAGTCTGAGGCCAGCCTGGTCTACCTAATGAGTTCTTACAATAGCCAGAGCTACAGACTGAGACTCTGTCTTGAAAAGAATAAAATAGAGAACTTCTGGCCTTGCTGCAGGCCACCTTGTTAGTTAGAGGTAAGCTCCATCTTGATTCCTAAGTCTCTCACAGTTTTCCTACTTCTCTTTCAGTATCATTCTTTTTTTTTCTTTTAACATGTCTGCATATGATGTTGTCTTACATATATAAACAAATGAAGCCACACACATGCGTGCACATGTGCACACGCACACACACACACACACACACACTCCTATACCTACTTCTTGTTTCAATCTACAGCTTTATAAACTTTCTCTGTTTTGTTTTTAAGACAGTATCTCACCATGTGGCCCTGGATACCCTGAATTCTCTATGTAGACCAGGCTAGTTTTGGATTCAGGTCTGCCTCCCAAGTGCTGGGATTAAAGGCATATGCCACCATATCCATCTATATAAATTTTTTAAAAAATCTTTTTGGTATAGAGTTGTTGCAGGATATGTGATCACACTGTGAACCTTGAGATTGTGTTGTTTACTGAAAAAACCTGTTTCTAGTTGTGGTGTGGCTCAGTCTTAGCACACACCTTTAATCACAAACAATGAAGGTAAAGTTAGTTTGTAGAAGGAAGCACCCATGTTTGAAAGTGACATCTAATGGAGTGGCAGACAAAGTGATGAGTCAGAGAAAGATTTGATAGAATAGGATATGCCCAATTCTCGTAAGAAGAGAGAGGAAAGGGAAGCTACTTGAGGGGCAGAAAGAGAGAGAGGAGCCAGTTTTACCAGGAGACTTTTACAGAGACAGGGTGAAGAAAGAACAAGCTAGACACTGGTGAGGACAGAATGAGCCAGAGAATGAGAGGGAGCTAGAAGATTAGAACAGATTGCCAAAGTTAGTATGAGGCCAAGCAGATCGATTCAGTCAGAGGCTGAGAGAAGTCAGATTTGAATCAGTCAGCTTGAAGAGTAGTTTGGGCCAGAACAGCTGAGTTGACCAGCCAGCTGGAGTTCAGAAAGAGCAAGAAAGGATGAGATTATTCAGCAGTAAGTCTCAGAGGCTGAAAATGTTCTAGGTCCAGATAAGCTTTTAGAGAGGCTAGAAACTTCCAAGACTAGGCCTAGGTTAGCAGACAGAGGCAGTAAACCTCCCAGACAACAATTACATTGGGAGAATAAAAGCTACATTTACATAGGGTCTCATGTAGCTCAGGCTGGCCTCAAACTTGCTAAGTAGCCTTGAACTCCAGACCCTCCTATTCCTCCTTCCCCAGTGCTGAGATCACAGTCATGTTAAGTAGTGAAGGACATTGAAGATAGGTGTTCTTGTGTGCTAGGTAAGCACTACCCCACTAAACTACACACCAGTTTCCAAATGTATAAACTTTTAAAAGTAAACAAGGCTGTAATGTTTTAGGATACATGGACCAGTGATTAGAAATAATAATAATAATGATAATAATAATAATGAAAAATATGAAAGCCTTTATTTTAACAATCAGTGATTATACTTGGAGAAGGGAGGGGAAGGGACTTGAGGGGGGTTTTGAGGTGCTGGCAATGTTCTATTAATTGACCCTGAGTGTGTTCTAAATTTCACAATGAGAAGGCCCTTTAATAACACATACCATATAAGATTCAGTAAGAGTCCATAATCAACTTATCATTTTAATCATCTGAATTAACAATTAATTTTAAACTTTAATCATTTCAGCAAGCCTCTTGAAATGCAAATTTTAATTAAATTTGTCAGGCAATAATTACTTTAAAAAACTATTAATACTCTAAAAATTAGCTTAGTAAAACATGCAAGCTGGTAAAACAGCTAATCCAGGTAAAAGTTTTTCTACTCAAGTCTGATGAACTGAGTTCAACCCCAGAACCTAGATGAAGTAGAGAACTGACACCTGACAACCTGACAACTGTCCTCTGGCCTCCACACATGCATGCCAGCACACCAGCACATGTGCACCAACATGTATGTATGTGCACATGTATATACAAAGTAATAATTTTATAATTATGTTATCAAATTTTAAATACTTGCAGTAACATCACTTAGATTTTTTCCCCATGTAATAAGTTAGAATATAATGCTCAAAACTTTTATCATCATACATGTAACTACTTTTATTTCCTTCTCATATGACATTCTAAACAGGAAACAGAAACTTCATAAACTGTTCAACCTTTTTTAAAGCCAAATTATGTAAGTATACCTAATAGCAATTATAGACACTAATATTTCTTTGTGTAAGAGAGTAGAATGGCTGGGCAGTAGTGGCGCACGCCTTTAATCCCAGCACTTGGGAGGCAGAGGCAGGCGGATTTCTGAGTTTGAGGTCAGCCTGGTCTACCGAGTGTGTCTACCGAGGGCTACACAGAGAAACCCAGTCTCGAAAAACAAAAAAAAAAAAAAGAAAGAAAGAAAAGGAAAGGAAAGAAAAGGAAAGAAGAGAAAAACCAAGAGAGAGAGAGAGAGAAGAATGAAAGAAACTGAGCTTGTGTTTTGAAACAAAGTCTTGCTAATTTTTTCAGGTTAGATTGGAACTCACCATGCAGTCAAGGCTGGTATCAAACTCAAAATCCTCCTGCCTCAGTCTCTTGAGTCCTAGGATTACAAGTATATACCACACACCCAGATCTAGTTTTGCTTACCTATTTAAGCAGAGAAAAATCTCTGCGATGTGGTCTAGTATTGTTTTAGATAAACTTATAGATTAGTGACTCAGATTTTCTCTTTACAAAATGCTACAGTTTGAATATACAGTTTGAAATGAACCCCACAAGGGGTTCATTTATTAGCAAGCTAAGTTCCCAGCTAATGGCACTAGTTTTGGAGGTTCTAAACACTTTAGAAGACAGAGCCTAGCTTGAAGAAGCAGGTCACTGGGCCATGTCCCTGAGAACATCTTTGCATTGAGCTCTTTTCTGCTATGCTCTCTGCTTTCTGTCTATAGTCATGAAATGAGCTATTTTAGACTGAACTGTATTTTATGAGCAAACAGTATGCTATGTGAAGTGTAGTTTGCATGCACATATATACCTGTGACCATGGCAAGCCCTTTATAGACAGGAATCATCTCCTTAGTCCCAACCTGTTGTTGTTAAGGTTTATTTTATTTTAACTGTATGTGTATGAGTGTTAGCCTGCATGTATGTGTGTGTGTACTACAGAGGCTAGAAGAGGGCATCAGATCCTTCTGAAACTCAACTTACAAACAGTTGTAAGCCACCATGTGGGTGCTGGAAATGGAACCTGGGTCTTTTACAAAACAGCAACTCCTCCTGACTGCTGACACACCCACCCAGCCCCAGCTATTGTTTTTTTTTTAAAAAATATCATTTCACTGATAATCAGAACAGATATTGAAAATGCTTTTCTTCATTTAACAAAAGCCTCTCTCAAAAGCCAAGCTCTTCAGATCAGAGTTGTTAAGTTCACTGGTCTCTGGCCAAACTGTCCATTCAAAAAGTACCAGTGCATTCAGTCATGGTTCTTCCTACAAGAATGTCAGAGAGACAGCAGATAGATCTTCCATTTAAGTAGTATAGACTAGTATAGAATAATTTTAAAGCTTCTTTTACCTGAACTGAGATAGCAAAATTAAAGGTAAACAGAGAATCTTCTTATACCAAAACAGTCACTCAAAGAGTAAAGAAAAAAGATTAAGTATTTTTCTTGATGACACAGACAACTTTAAAAGATTATTTCTACATTATCACAAACATGGATATGGTGTGGCTCAGAATACGTGTGACTATGATAAAACTTGAAGACTAACCCCTTGCAAAGCATATTGGTATGTGCCTGTAACCCCAGAACTAGGAAGATGGAAAGAGTCTCACCAAGTCTCCAAGCTAGTCTGCTAGCCATCACAACAACAGCAACCAACCAAAAAACAAAGGACAAAGGTTCTGCTCTGCATCCTTCCAGTCCGTGCATTCATCCCCCTTGCTGTGACTACTGGACTAAGATGGAATTGCTCAGTATTTTAGATCAGAACTTCTCAAGGGCAGAAGTATAGACACACGTACAAGTGCAAACGTATGGAAGTGCACAAGTGCAGAACTTTAAAAATATGGAAATGTTCAAGTGTAGAAGTGTGTAAGTGAGAAGTACAGAAATGTAGTGGAGAGGAAGTATAGACGTGTATTAGTGTAGCTTCTGCACTAACACCAGTTCATAAACTGGCTGCTGACCAGTGACCAAATGAATATGTAAGTTGAATACAATTAAAAGCTTTTCTAGCAATCTGATATTAGTATGACAAATTTATAGTCTGGTTTTGTTTTATTAATATTTTTCAAATTTCATTTTTCTGGTATTTTTTTTAGCAAGTATTTTACAATGGTATTGGTCCATACAGACATTAAAAAAACAAAAACAGGTGCTTCAGCACAGATGATTTAAGGGACATACAGTATATTACAATGTCCTTGCTGTTTGAAACAAATATTGTCTGGAAGTCAAGTCTACTCACAAGGTCTGTTTCTTCCTTGATGAGTGCTACTTAAAATTCTCTCTACTAAGCCTCTGTTTGTTCCCTTGACATAATTAAAATATGAAGGTTACTGTCCTTGAGTATCCAACATAGCTTAAGCTGAAGGAGCACCTACATTCAGATGGTGACAATGATAAATAATGAGGGAAAAGCCTGACCTGTGTGGCTAACAGCCAACACACTCTAAATAACTATTCAGAAAAAAATGCATGGAACAGAAACAAGGACCAGCCCAGGTTTTCCTCTAAATTCATGAAGATCTAAGGTGTGTAAAAACGGAGGGCCAGCAAACTATTTCATTGTGAATTGTAAAAACATTTTCTTCTGTATAGTTTTCATACAGTCTAAAATGCTATTCTACTTTGTATGTGTGTATGGGGGTGTATCATGGGAAGGAAGCCCTGATTTATGACTCTTTCCTAAAGTCTGCTCTGCTGTGCCAAGATTTCCTTCCACAGCAATAAAAGCTATTTTGGAAATTTTAAATCAATCTCAAAGTTGGCAGAGTAATTATAAATTCCATTTGCGGGATCCAGAGGAGAAACAGTGGTTTGGATAGCCACCAGAACCCTGGGCTCTGAAATGCTCACCAGATCATGTTCATCTGTCAGGCCACCAAGATCTGCTTTCAAGATCTTTTGCCAATTTCATTAATATGTCCCAACCAGGCTTTGGGTAAAATGAACTATAATTGACTTGATAGGCGATTTATTAAAAAGATACTTTAAAAAAATCTATAGGTCATCCATAAGCCTAAAATATTAGAATTTTTATTTATATAGATTTATATTGGGAATTGGTTCTAATGCTTTGTCTTATTTCAGCTCTCAAAAGGCCTCACTTCCAAACCTGAGGGTTCCTGCTCCAAGCTGGTTTTGATTGATAATAAAGAACTGCCATACAGCCAATGGCTGGGCAGAAAGACAAGGGAGGGACTGGAAGAAAGGGGAGAGACAGAGAATCACCATGGCTCAGAGGGAGAAGGATCAGATGTAAGAGCTGCAGGAAAAAAAAAAAAAAAAAAACAACCAGCCATGTAAGAATTTGGGAAATGGCCCCAGTGGCCACTCCCCTGGTTGGGTCTGGGGCAGTAGAAATGAAATGTTGATTTAGCAAGTTGACTCAGGAAAGTTGGAAGGGACAAAGTAAGCTAACCTTGGGGAAGATTAGAAATGGCCAGCCTTTGAGCTAGTCAAGGCATATCAAAATTAGCTGGTATATGTGTGTCTTTCATTCACAAATCCACAGAGCTCTTGGGCGGCTTGTGTGCTTGCGACCCACCAGAATCCAAAGTGGTTTAACTAATTCACTGCTACAGATTTATACTTAATAAAGAGTTTAAACTTAATACAGAGTTTAATCTTATAAAAAGAAAATGATTCACACAGATACTATTAAATAATTTACTAAAAGGCTATCAAATGCCAGGAACAGGTCATTAATCCCAGCACTTGGTAGGCAGAGGAAAGAGGATCTCTGGGAGTTCAAGGCCAGCCTGGTTTACATAGTAAGTTCTCAGACATCCAGGACTATGTAGTAAAACCCTATCTCTAAACAAACACACAAGCAAACAAATAAACAATCAAAAACCCAAACCAACAAAACAAAACAAAAAAGGCTCTCCAAGTAGCCTTGTGATAAGAGTTCTTGCCTGGCATGCTCAAGGTCAAAGTTTTAATTCCCAGTACTATAAATAAATAAATTTAAAAATTTAAAGACTGTCAAAATACCATGGAATTAACTTTTTAGCCTTGTTGTTTGGAGGAGAAGGGAAGTTTTCTCCCTAGTCTCTGGGGTTCAGTAGCTAGGATCTGTGTATTAAATTGAACAATAATAATAAAATATTAAAATAAAAAAACACTTAGCCAGACATGGTGGTGCACCTTTAATCTCAGCACTTCGGAGGCAGAGGCAGGTGGATTTTTGTGAGTTTGATGCCAGCCTAGTCTACAAACTTAGTTTGAGGATGGCCAGAATAGTTACAGAGAAACTCTGTCTCAAAAGACTGGGGGTGGGAATAGAGGGTAGGGGGCAATAGAAAAGACTTATTTTGTTTCTGAAAAATTTACAGAAAATGTTGACACCTAAAGGGAGCTAGATCTTGGAACTTGTACACAATTTTAAAAGGTTAAATTATAGAAAAATGTCCAGACACATTAAAAAGCTTAGCCTTTTAGACGTAGTAAACTGTGGGAAGGTAAACATATATGGAAAACTATAAAAGGTATTTAGCAAAGTTTTTATACTGATTCAAGTCAATGTAATCTCTAGCAAGAGGTTAGACTCTTAGGCCAGTTCTAAGGTTCAGAGAGTATAGGCACCTGTTGCACAAGCCAGGAGATTGACCTGTGGAATCCACTTACATGCAAGAAGAAGCATGTGTGGCATGGCTGACCGTGCCAGCCATGGCATATACAACCACACACACACACGGGGGGTGGGGGTGGGGGGGGCATCTATTGACAGCCAGTTATCATTATGGACCAAACCACTAAAGGTTCTAATCAGTTCAGATCAGAACAAAAGACCTACTGGACTTGATCAAGAATATTATCTCGCTTGCCTAGCAAGAGCAAGGCGCTGGGTTCAATCCTCAGCTCTGGAAAAAAAAAAGAATGATATCTAAGTAAGAAACTAATTTTCTTTCATATCTTTCACCAAGGCTGAGCTCCACATATATAGGAAGGAAAAACTGCAAGCATTTATATGGAAAGAAAATTAATAATAATCTGTCAAATCTCTCAAATCAGATTAATTGACCTAAATTGTCAGGACATTAGAAATAAGCACAAAAGGAAAGAAAATTGGAGTATCTCTGCTTTAAGGGTTCCCTGTGTGGCCTGAGAAGCTGAGTGTTCTGGTCACTGTAAGTTTATAAAGCTGTCTTGAAAGTAAAACACAGAGGTAGCCTGAGAGCTATCAATGGTTAGGACCACACAAGCACACATCATAGGAACCAGAGAATGCAAGCTTAGTAAGAGGCAAATGTGTACAGGGGTCTATAAACGAAGCACTATTTCAAGAACTTGACATGACGCAGTAACTAGTATAAACAACTGGAAATAATTGATGGTAGTATTTCACCACTTTATTCTTGCTTGTTCGTGAGTTTTTAGAACACTTGGAGCTAGAGAGATGGCTCAGTTGTTAAGAGAGCTTACAGAGAACCACAGTGGCTCTTAACTGCCTCTGACACCAGCTCCAGGGGATCTGCTGACCTCTTCTGGCTTCTGAGAGCCCTATACTCATGTGCACAAACCCACATTCTTTTTTTTTTTTTTCCTTCTTTTTTGGTTTTTCAAGACAGGGTTTCTCTGTGTAGCCCTGGCTGTCCTGGAACTCCCTCAGTAGACCAGGCTGGCCTCGAACTCAGAAATCCGCTTGCCTCTGCCTCCCAAGTGCTGGCATTAAAGGCGTGTGCCACCACTGCCCGGCCACACATCATTTTCTTAAAAAAAAATTTAAAAAAAAAATTTTTCTGCTTTTGCACAGTTCCAGGCAAACTCTCAAGTTTTGAACTGAAAATAAACTATACACTATAAGTTACCAAATAAACTATCTTGTCTTTATTTTAAGAATGTATTGTTCTTTGTATGATTTACCTTATCACACTGTAACAGTAACGTTAAGAGCTGAAGTGAAATCAATAATGACAGGACTAAGCATCATTAAACGAAACTCAAAATCCATGAAGTGCTGAGCTAAAACTGAGCATGCAATCGTAACGTGCCGTGTTGGCTACTTGTGATGTATGAAGACTATAAGCCACACTAATACAAGACTCAAGAGAAACATCTTATGATAAATAGTTACCTGAATTTGAGTCTGGAAAAGACAAATAGCAAATATTCGTTTTCTGAAAGAGAAAAGCAGAGCCATGAATGCTGGCACACACACTCCAGCAGGAAGAAGCAAATGCGACAGTAGACGATAAAGAGACTTATTTACTCACTTCTTTATCAGTAAGTTTGGAATGCTGAGGATAAATCACCTGCAAGAGAAAAGTTAAATTATGTTAGCATATAATGGGTATGCCTAGAATTCTAGTTGGCTATGGCCAAAAAGTTTTTAAGAAATCACAGTTGGGGCTGTGGTGTCATCTGTCGTTACAGACACTTGTAAAGCTGTATCAAGAGACTGACTACCTTGAGCCCCATAGTTCAAGGCCAGCCCAGAAAATATGGTGAAACCCTGTCCCCAACATAAAAATATTTTTCTCATAATAAAACAAGGAAGAAGTTAAGAGAACTAAGTAGAAGTTACATTAGCTTTAAAAATTACTACAAAATTAGCTCTAAGACTGGTGAAACCTAAACTTATTTTCTTTTTCTGTGTGAAACTTAAAATCTAAAGAAAATATCGTCTATATTTTCAACTCATACTTGTTCAAGAAATAATACTTTTCAAGTGATTCCATGAATACTATACATCAAACACTTAGAGGAAAATGACAAGGAAACATTTACCTAAAATTTTAAAAATTTCTATCATACAGCCTATCGGTAACCACACACACACTCCATTCCTTTAAATAACTGTCTTTTCCTAGTTTAGCACCTGGAGTGACCACAGATCCCTCTGAGAGCAAACACTGCCTATCAGCCTCTGTAATAGAAGAGGGTCTGGGACAAAGCAGCTCCTGCTAGAATCAGCAACAGCCAGTAGAGGACTCAAGGACATCATCCTACAGACCAGCCCACTTCCTTGAGTGACTAAAAAGTAGGTTCTGGAAGGGTGTCACGACAAAAGTTTATAATCTCAGCATACATAAAGCCGAGGCAGGAAAATCACCTTGGGGCTGAGACTAGCCTAGGCAGCACAGTGTAAATTTCAGGATAGCCTGGTCTACAACACAACTCTTGTCTCAAAAACATTATAAAAAGAAAACAAAATTATCCCTCTCCCCTCAAGAAAGTAAGTACTCAATACTTTTTAAAGGTTTTTTTGTTATTGTTGCTATTTTTGGGGAGGAAAAGGGGTTATTTGCTTGATTTTTTTGTTACAGAATCTCATATAATATCCCACACCAAGCTGAGACCGAGAGATCTGCAAATGTATGCGTGACTTATAATTTAATATTTCCTATATACTCAGCATTATGATTGAAAAGTGTGCAAACTTTCCAGTTTGAAGTAGTTTATAATTTAGTTTTTTTCTTTTTTTTTCTTTTATGGTTTTTCGAGACAGGGTTTCTCTTTATAGTCCGGGCTGTCCTGGAACTCACTCTGTAGATCAGGCTGGCCTCGAACTCAGAAATCCGCCTGCCTCTGCCTCCCAAGTGCTGGGATTAAAGGCATGTGCCACCACTGCCCGTAGTTTTTGCTTTTTTGTTTTGTTTGAGATCGTTTTTCACTGTGTAGTCAAGGATGGTCTTGAACCTCTGATCTTCTGGTCTCTGTTTTCCAAGTGCTGGGATCACAGATGTGAACAACCAAACCTGTTTTTTGTTTTTGTTGTTATTGTTGCTATTTTGTTGTTTTGAGAATTTGGGGGCTTTGTTTTAGGTTTTTTGTTCTTTCAGAGAGGGCTTTATGTAGCCCAAGCTAGGCTCAAACTAAAAGCAACCCTACAGTCTCAATCTTCCAAGTCCTAGGATAACACCATTTATCATGACACTGCCTTTCTTTAATTCTTATTGGTCAAATCCCTATTGTCTAAATCATGCCATATAATTAACATTTTGAAATTACAGGGTTGGGAGTAAAGCTTTTATTTAGCATGCTTAAGATCCTGGGTTCAATTCCCCAGTAACACAGTATTGTTTAACAGCAAAATGTACTTGTTTTAAAGTCTGTTAGGGGGAAAATTCCAGCACTAAAGATTCAAAATCGGGCAGGAAATTGTAGAATGTTTTTCTAGCACTAATGGAACCGTGAATTTGATTCCAAGAGCCACATAAACTTGGCACAATGGCCCAAGCTTATAATTCTAGAGACGAGAGGATCACATCAGAAGTTTAAGGTCAAGGTCTTCCTTGGTAACAAGAGTTGAAGATCATCTTAAGATACTTGAGACCTTGTCTCAAAAAAAGGGGGGTGGGGGTAGCACGAATACAAGTGCTCAGCTACAAGAGTAGGGTAAAGTGTTCGGTTAAAGAAAAACATTAACAATGCAAATGTGACCGGAAACTATGGGAATTCAGAAAACAAGGATGGCTTCATATTGTTTAGCACTTTCTTCTAATATCTTAGGCACTTTTTCTCATCTAACTCTGAGCCAGAGCTCAAACTGATTTGTTTTCAAATGTCAAATTTCTTTAACACTCTTTGCTTCCACTTTTCCCACTGTACCTGGGGTAGAAGTCGACACACATACATGGCCCTGGGTTCCATGCTTAGCTTCAAAATAAGAAGTACGTAAATACATTTAAAACCTATTTCCCATTGATAATGTGATAGTTTACTGTGCTCTCTTTTAATAACTTTCTAACCGCTGTTCATATTTTACATTATTTTAATCAATGTACAGAGAAAGGTGGCAAAAACCTAATTATTTACAGCACCACTTATCTCATCAATGGAACTGTGCTTTGGATTATATATTTTGAAATAGCATTCATCAATAAACTGTTTTCATAACTAGGTCTGCTGGCACAGGTCTACAATCAGAACTACTTGAGAAGTCAAAGCGGGAAAAGTTAAGTTTCAGACCAGCCTTGACTACAGAGAGAGTTCAAGGTTGGCCTGGACAATTGAGTGAGACATGTCTCAAACTAAGAAGAGGGCTGGGAAGGAGCTGGAGAGGTACAGTGTTTGCCATTAGTTGAGGCCAACATAAACAAACTGAATTTTGTTTTCTCATGCCTGCTTGAGCTAGGTTTTTGTCACTTTCAACAACAAAAACAAAACAAAAAAATCATGGTTAAATAAATTTTCCCCAAATGGGAATTCATAAAGGAACTGCCTCACTTCATTTACCCCTCTGTTTTTATACTTAAGACAGTATCTAGACCAGAGAAGAGACTTAAAACCAAAAATAGTTTTGCTTCATCCAAGGATAGCCTCTCAAATTAATTCTATCCAACCAGTAGTATTTAATCTGTAATACTTTTTTTAATGTGTATCCAAGTCTCCCTTTCTTCATGTTTTTTTTTTTTTTTTTTTTAATTGTTTTTGGTTTTTCGAGACAGGGTTTCTCTGTATAGCACTGGAACTCATTCTGTAGACCAGGCTGGCCTCAAACTCAGAAATCCGCCTGTCTCTGCCTCCCAAGTGCTAGGATTAAAGGCGTGCGTCACCACAGCCCGGCCCCTTTCATGATGAGATTATTTTACTTGTAATTTTAAAAGCAGAGATAACATCTAAAAACCGTTACTAATATATCCTGTTTAAGTCATAGTTTATGTAAAAAAGCTCACTAAAAGCTGGGGAAAGGTATGGGCCTATAATCTCAGCACTTGAAAAGCCCAGGAAGGAGGATTCTGGGGTCAGACTGGACCATGTGGAGGCTCCAGGCCAACCTGCACAACACAGTGAGGCTGTCTCAAAACCAGAATGTTTGATTGCAGCCCAGTTGGTCAGCAGCTTGTTGGACACAGTTGTGCTGGCAAGAGTGGCCTATGACAACTTCAGCAACTCTACGGTTAGTTTTACTAACTATCCTTTCAATGCTTATTTCTTACACACACACACACACACGTACACACACACACACACACACACACACTGTACAAATAAAACTTTAAAAAAAATAAAGTGCATCGAGGGCTCTGTTGACTTATCAGAGTCTTCTGAGCTACAGCAAATAGAGGAGGTGTGACTACATGACAAGATAAAGATAATTAAGGCCTAAGTATGACAACAAAAAAATATTTTTCAAAAAAAATTCACACATATATGAGCTGTCTCATTTACCATTTTGTCTTTACACAGAATGTATGTATGTGTAATATACATTACTTCCCAAGGCAAGAAGTGTTTTAAACAAACTATCTCTACAAAAGTAGATGTATCTGCTATGACCCTGCATAGCTACCTTCAGTGTGAAGACTGTGGTCTCTGAAGAGAGATAATTAAGAACATGAGTTACTGGTTGTATCACATGTACACACAAGTAAAAAAACGGCTGGAGCTATAACTAAGTAAGTGATACAGACTTGTCTACCATGCTATCATGGAGAACATCCTAGAGTCATCTCTAGTAGCATCGAACAAACAGCTAAGAAGACAACATCATTAGTCATAAGGAAAATGCAAATGAAAGCAAGATAAAAGATCACTCCTACTTATTTGGATATTCCAAAGAACAGATAAGAGTGGCAAGGATCAGGAAAAACTGGAATCCTTTTATGTTGCTGGTAGAAACATTTTGGTAAGTTTTTAAAAGCTGTATCACATATACCATGTATGGCCAAGTCACTTTATCTTTATAAACACAACCAAGAGCAGGAAAAAGATGTGCATGTGAAAACTAGCGCAAGGGTACTCTTTGCAGCACTCACAGAAGCCACAGAGAAATACCTCCTATAGAATGGTGAATAGATAAACAAACTGTGGCACTTGCAAACCCAGGTTATACTACTTAGCCATAAAAGAGAGAGCAGACAGTGTCCAACCTCCAGCTGCATACCTCACCCCAGGAAAGCAATGAGGACAGCCCAACACCAATGATAAACTTACTTAAGACATTCTGAGATACTTTTTTGTAACTTGGTCCTGTAGTTCTCAAGCATGACCTTTGTAGATGACAATGAGGTATTGCAATATCAAAAGGCTGGGCACACCTTACAGATGAAACCTGAAAATATGTGAAGTGAAAGCAGACAGAAAAAGCCACATGTATTTCATTCACGTGAAATGTACACAGGAAGCAAATCCAAAATTGAACACTTGTGGTTGCCAAAGGCTGCGACAAAAGGTTGCTAGTAGATACTAGTTTCCTTTTAGAAGTGATGAAATGTTCTACAACTGGATTAGTGGTACGAGGTGTGTGACTCAGGAAAACTGAACTGTGATTTTAATTGGACAGATCTTACATTATGCAAATGCCTGA